TTGTCACAAATGTGCACCGTTCTTATTTAAAAATCCATTTACATTATCATATTGCGGAAATATATGCTGTTTTAAGCTTTTTTTTGTTGTCTTTCTGTAGATGTCTTCAGTGAGAATAATTATTACAATCTCATCTATAGTACAGCTATATATTGGATAGTAAAATAATCGATTTGGTATAATAGCATTTAGTGTAGCAGTCTTCAAAATATTTAACTTTGGAATTACTCTGGTATCAGATATTTTGAATATAAGCTGAGCTGGCTCAATTCCAGTCATATTTGTGGAAACAAATAACTGCGCATGCTTGCAAGTCAAAACATGATGGTACTACTTTGAAAAAGAAGCAAGGACTGTCTGAGATGTAAAGCCAAGAAGTTACAAATTACTGAAATTACAGCTGCTTTTTCAACCTCAATTTTTTGTCCTGTGTACTTGCCTGGTGTAACCGGGTGATGTAGGAGTCCGGAGGGAATTACAGTGTGTGCCCAGGTAACTGAAGTCTGTAATATAATGCATACATGTTGGGTGACAGAATTAAGGTTGTGCTATCATCGGTAAGTCTCGCATTTGCCAGTTTGGGTGCATGATTTAACTGCTCCCCACCCCTCAAGATCTCAGAAAACACATTGGAAACCAAACTCTCTGCCTGATATTGGCAGCTGGTTGTGTTTCCTGAGACTCTACAAGCTAGAGTGCTGCTGCCTTTAGGGACAATTTATGATAGCCAGCAACAAGAAAAGGTGATGCTTCAGTCTGACATGCCTATTCTGGCATTTACAGTTTCCTACTCAAATAGCTTTAAAATAAATGCATATTTTAAATATATATTGTTTTAAATGAACTCTTTTATGTACTTTAAAAGATTTTCTGTAGACTACATTTGTGCCCAAGTGGTATTTTTTTCATCAGGACAATTGATGGATGGGTCTGTACTGCCAGAACTAGTTTCCTGTTGAAATTTAAACATTTGTTTTATCCTCCCTCTGTCATTTGTGTGATTAGCTAGTCTTTAGAAAACAAAAACCCCTGAATGTCAGGCTGCTTTAAATAAGGAAAAGAACATTCCCATTTTCCTAAGCAGCACCTATTTGCATTAAAAACCAGATTAATCTGTTTGGATCAGACTTACCAAAACAAACAGAGTGTACTTTGGATTAAAAACTAAGGGATGGTAAATTTGCCTCATAATTAAAAAGTCCTGAGTAACTGGAAATTATGACTTCATGGTGTCTATTAGACTGAGCTGCCACATGACATATCTGGGCCATGTTCTTCCAATGAGTTAGTTGCTGTAATTTATAATGGTCGTGTTGTGAGCCCTCCAAATGTCAGCATCCTGTTTACTTGCTTTTAAGCCCAACAGTTATTGCATTTTATATCTCCAGTTTGTGCTATTGGAAGAATGTAGCCTGTGATATGTAGAATAGATACCTCCCCTGGCAGAGCTGACGCTGAATTGTTTTGCAGTTCTTGATTTGTTGGATGAAGACATTATATAGAGTTATTGGTAAAGCAGAAATAAATTTTATTTTTCAGTGTATGCTGGAAAAGTGGACCTGTTGTTACATTAGAAAAAAATGCAGCTGCTTGAAATGAAATTAGAACATTGCTGATATAAGTAAAAACATAATGGTTTATTTGTTCTGGGGTAAGTGATAACCTGTCTCTTGCATGAATTTTCCAGTGACATCGGTAGTGATACCTTTTGGGGCATGAGGTGCATGGTTTATTTCTTGTGTAACTTTAGGGATGGTTTTGTCATGTATACATTTATATTTGCCATTCTGAATGACATCTACATGTGTAGCTTGTTGTATGAAATGAGAAGAAGTGCCCACAGCATCGATGCTGTTTATGAGGCCCCTCTCTAATGAGCAGAAGTGGTTCTGTCCTGTATAAGAATGAGCATAATTCCTGAAACATCTGGTTTTGTTGCTTTGCCCACACCAAATGACCTCTCATCTTCAATAACCAGGTGCTTATTCTTGTTTGACATGCAAATACACTACAGCCTGAGATTGAGGTCTATATTAAGGTCAAATAAGTGCTTTGTGTATGTTACGTCAAACTTAGTAGGAGAGTTTATTACTGTTTCTGGGAGCAAGATAACTTCTTCAGAGATAGAAATAATGCACTTAGTTCTCTTATGCTGAGGTGGTGATACTGGACAATGCATTACTGTGAGTTTTGCCTCCATTTAAGATGTCTTATATCAGCTTACTAAGGGATAGAGTACTTGGAAGGTATCACTCCTGGAGCTCTTTTCCCCATTTGGGCTATTACACCCCATTATGAATTATCTGAATGTCTTTATGGTATCCTACTATTTGACATACATGGGAGCATACTCGTATTATTTCTGAGCTTAATCACCTAATGTTGGTGATTAAAAAGTAAGTCAAAGCAAGAACGCTCTCTTTCATTGAAAAATCCTGACGTCACTTTCTCAGAATCTTTTTGCCAATAAATTAAGCAATTGAGGTCTTACTGTGTTTGCCTGTTGTTTCAGTTGCATTCAGTGTTTCTCCTCCTTGTCTGCTGCCCTTTTTGCTTCCATCTTTCTCCTTTTTGTCCTAAATATATATACTTGCTCCCATGTAAAGGCCGTAATACTGCATGATGGTCGCTGCCTCTCAGATCTGCTTAAATTCACCTGGGAAGAGAGTAATTTGTGCTGTGTGCAGTGCAATTCCTGGTCTTATGTGATTATAAACTACCACAGTAAACAAAAATTGGGGCTGTACTATGTGTTGAAAAACACCTACAGCGTGAAGTAATTCCACCAGTCAGTGCGTGGAGTCCTAGCCCAGAAACAGCCATCTGCATGGTGGGGAGTAGGGAACTGTTTTACAAAAGATAGCAGTGGATGGGTCTGTGCCTTGATATCTGCATGGTGGTGCTAATCTTTCTCTCTTCTCTTCCTTAATTTTTTTTTTTCTTGAGCTAGTAAGATCAAGCTATGTGGCAGTCTTCTGGGGAAAAAACTGTCTTCTGTTAGTAACATCTGAAGCTCAGCAAAGAACTGTTGTATAAATAAAAATAAACAGCAGCTACCAGTCCCGGGGACAGACAGGGTTTTTTTGTCTTAAAGCTCAAGAATATCAACATACCAGCTTGTGTTAACATGGAGGAAAAATAGGCCTGGATGTACAGTTACCTGTAGTCCTTGGACGTTATGTCAGCTGGTCAAACTAGGATGTGAGAGAAGATACCAGAGCCCTGTGATGTGACACTGTGACTTCTATGATACATGGCCAGCAACTTTTGGATGCTTAAGATAGCAACAGTAGTGGTAGAGGGTGCGGCGGTGGGCGTACGTCAGTGCATTGCATCACATTGTGCACGAATTTGTGTGATTTGAGCTTTGGGGATTCAGCCCCCTCCTTAGGATCTTTAAAATGGGGCTTAGACCATGAGCTAGGTAAAGGAATGGGTCAAATTAAATGCTCTAGTGTAAGGGCAATGTGGATGTGGTTGTGTCGCCTTCTCAGTCACTGCCCAGTAGCAATGCTGGTGTTAGGGTGTCAGAATTGTGTCTGTGTGGTGGTGACCCAGGAGAGTCCTGTATTTGATGTGCCTGAAGGGCTATGGAACAATGCCGCACGTTTGAAGTGCACCGGTGATTTGAGTTTATCCAGTTTGAGGTTTCAGCAGTGAAACCTAAATTTAGCACAAACCCGCATTGAGTAATTTTAACATTCTGCTGCTGCATGAGGCTCTGTCTAGAGCTACACAGCATTGGTGATCACAGCCAAGGCTTGCCTTGATGCTCTAAAATAGTATCTGGACTTCAGGTCTGGGGTTTTCTTCTCCCTAGATGTATTCATGTTAGAGCTCTAAAGGCAAGTCTTTTGCAATACCTACCGTTTGTAGTTACTGTCACAGGGTTTTCTCCCGCCATGGTTAAATGTGGATCTCGAAGCAATGAGCTGAGCCAACTCTGCAGAGCTCTGTTAACACCTTCAATAATTTTTTGCATTGCTTCCAACCTTGCAGTGGGCATTGCATACTGAAATGAAAGCAGAATTGTTAGCTTGTCCTGGTCATTTGTGTGCAGCATGTGTGGGTGTTGCAGTGCAGCCGCTGCAGGGTTGAGGGGCAGGAGAAGAGTCTGGTGGCGTCAGAACTGGGATAGCTGCACGGGGATTAGGATGAAATTGTTTTGAAATGCACTAATAATCATTGTAACCTGTACTTGTGTGGTTATAGATCTTTTAGTCTGCAAAGCACGTTGAACTGTGCTGTAAGCTGTCCTCTCTGTCTGGAACTAGATCTTCAGGTGGAGTTAGGGGGGAATCCAGTCAAGAGAATGGTTTTGAAACCCTCTTAACAACACCACTGCAAACTGGTGACAGTCATATGATTCTGTAGCAGATAGTATCCAAGGCTTTGTCTTAACTCTGCAAAGAATTTGTCCTTCAGGAATATAAGCCAGATGCTGTTCCCAAGCTGCTCTTGTTTTACTTACAGAAGTTGAAAAAAAAACATTGAAAGCATTAAGGCAAATGAAAAGAAATATGTTTGAAATGTGCATTGTCTGTGTGGTAGAGTTACAGGATGACTTGCTGTGGAGAAAATGAGGAAATACTATCCAGTCTGAGCTTGTATAGTTTACCTGATATAACTTAAAAAGCATTGGATATATGATACAGTGTGTAGTGATCCTATACAGTCTTGGATCCAGGATGGGAGAACACCCTTTTCACTAAATAGGTTTCAATGCTGACAATTATAGTTTAGGTTTGTGTTCAAGTTAAGCTATAAATTATTCTTAATTAGAGTTGATGCATCTTTTCCACTTTAAAATTCGAAAGAAAGGATACCATTGATTTTATGTTGGAATGTGATAATATCTTGTATGTTTTTTTAAATGTAAAGTAGAAATCTTAAACATATGAAAACAAGGACTGTAGGAAATTATAATTATGGGACAATTGGAAATATAAAATGAATGTTTTAAACTGATGATCTCTCCACCCCTCCCTAATTTATTTCAGGTTTATGACTCCAACTGTTGCGACAGCGTTCTTCTGGAACTGCGGGAATATCTGCCAAAATACTTCGGTGTCTGGTCACCACCTACTGCACCAAATGGTACTGTTCTAATTTTGTTTGTTAATCCAAAACTTCTTGAAGAATCTTCTAGAGACTGATTTTTGGCAGTTGCGAGCTCTGAGGGTTTTACTGGTATTGGTTTGTAACCAGCTAATGTTCCTTCTAACAACTGGTTCCAGTTTGCAGTCCTCTGGCTGAATTAGGTCTTTGGGGTCTTCCTCCCGGGGAAGATGGGGCATGGCTGTTTGTATGGCAAACGTTTCCTGAGTAGCTGCACCTGATACATATTGCTCCTGAGCTGCTGCTCTGGTCTGGGTCATGTCAGAGGAATGGATTGGTTGCATGTTTATGTCTGGTCAGACCATCAGAGCGAGAGACAGGCGCTGTGTGGGTGTGCAAGGAACTAAAAATGGATAGACAGGGGCCTAAGGAGAGATGTTCGAACTGGAATCTGCTGCTGGATCTCCAGGGGCTGGATCCCATCGCCATGCCGTATCATACAGAGCAGTTATTTCCTTGCTGGGGAGCTCTGCTTGTCATCCTCTGTTACTGGCTTGAGTGGGACAAAGCTCTGGTATCTTAACTTTGTATAACATGGTGGGAGTCAGGAAGAAAAATATTATCTCTTCAAGGGAAGATAGATATTATGATGTATTTGAGACAGAAACTACTTTTTCTTCTGGGGACTTTTCTTACTCGTACTGGGGAGATGAAGCTTCTGGAACATACAGAAACAAAAGGATGCTGTCGAGTCTATTTAAATACATGGACACGAAAACCAAATGTTGTGCTTTTTTAATATAACTGTCTTCTTTTGCTTATGCTGTCACTTGATAGACTTGTTTTCCAAACAGAGCAGTAAGCCAAAGACACTGTCTAAACTCTGCAAAAAGAAATGCAAGGAGGGTTGTGGTAGTACCCAGCACTTTTTTTGGCTCAGTTTGCCTTCATGCTTTTGTATTTGCCACTAACTCAAATACCTCTACCAGAGCTATCTTTTTCCTTCCCTCATAATGGAGCTCACTTAATGTCCCCTCCAAATGGCAAATCAATTTTTTCTATTCACAGTAGGATCTTAAGATGTAAAAATATGTAGTCTAGCCAAGATAGAGTAATTCAACACATCCCTAGTACACTTTGGGAATTCACTAGCACTGTGCACCGTGGGGCTGAATTTTGGCGGGTCTCTACCTGTAGTCCAGATGTAGCTAGTAGGAATAACTGTGTAAAGGGAGAATAACTTTTGATTTTGTTTGTTTTGCTACTTGGAAAGACTATGAGCCCTCTTCATAGAAACCCATGGCAGGGGTTCAAATAAAGCACTCCGTTGCCAACTCTGTTTTCTGTAGTTTAATGAATTTTGTGTAGTCTTGATAGAAATCAAGTGTATCAGGGATAATGGAGCTTAATAGAACGTGTGCTGGGTACATCCAAAGCTGAGGAGGCATCCGTTCGCACTGGAAGTCATC